AGATGTGCCTTGTTTTCAGCACTGATTTCTTCTTTCTCCATCTTTGCTGCGAGATAAACTTCCTAACGCGGCCTTCTCTCTGTTCTAGTCTTTAGAAGAAGTCTGTGACCTGCTGCACGCAGCCCCTTTCCAGAACATCTTGCCGAGAGTCCACGTGAAAGGTGAGCCAGTGTCCTCTGACCAGGGTGGGGACGCACGTCTGTGTGGCCAGAGGACTCAAGGCTGGTTTTGTTTGAGTTTAGTGCCTGTTCATTGGGGTAATTGGTAATTTAATATAGTTAAGTGAGTATTCAATCACCGAAGTATTTAGGGCTGGAAAAGCTTGGGTGGGGGAGGGTACAGCTCAGTGTAGAGTGTGTGCCTAGCCTGCACAAGGTCCTGGCTTCAATCCCCAGTATCTCCATTAAAATAAATACATAAACCTAATTAACTCCCCCACAAAAAAACCCAGAATCGCATAGGAGCAGGAATGTCGAGTATTTGTCCAGTGAGCGGCAGGAGCTCGTGATCCTTGCAGCAGGTGGGCACAGAGGGTTCACTGTCCTATGCTCTGTTTTTGATTACTTTGGATTTTTCAGTATGTTTTAAAAAGTGTGATTTTTTTTTCAATACATTTAAAAAAGTGAATATTGAAACCAGTGGGGGTTTCGGATGGGGAAGGGATGAAATTCATCATCCTCTTCTCCATCAGCTAAGCTCCACCTGGTTGTGTTGACTCTGTTTCCAGACCAGTTCTGTCCTCTGCTTTCACATGAGTCCACACCATCAGAATGTCCCGTAGAACCTGGGTCACTGCACTGGCCTCCTAACCTGTGTCCCTGCTTCCACCCCTGCCCCCCTTGCAACTTACTCACAGCACAGCAGCCCAAGTGAAATTGTAAAGTTGTAAATGAAAAATCACTCCCCTGCTTGGACCCCTCCAAGGCTCCCCAGGACCTCAGGCCCTGTTCTCCTGGTGGGATGATTTAGGCGGGGAATTCAGGCCCAGCTGCCCTAACAGATAAGATGTGCGGCCCCCAGAGATGGAGGTCTGGGGCACTTAGCTCCTCCATCCCAGGCAGAGCTCTCCCTAGTTCTTTATTTGCATGTCAAGTTTTGTCAGATCTTCCCAACAGACCTGGTTGAAAAGATAGCAGGGATATCCCCATTTTACAGCTGGGCAAACAAAGGCTGAGAGACGGGAGGAGACCCACTCATGGCCAGTCAGTAGCAGACAGAGTAAAATCAGCAGGTAAATAGAGAACAACTGTGATACAGCCATACTTGGCAAAAAAAACAAAAAACAAAAAAAGGAATGATTGATATATTGAGACATATTGAGACAGCATGGATAAATCTCAAAATAATGATGCTTAGTGAAAGAAGCCAGACGGAAAGGGAGCATGGCTGTGTGCGTCTGTCTGAGTCTGTTCAGGCTGCTGTAACAAAACACCACGGACTGTGTGGCTTAGGAAGGGCAGAAAGTTACTTCTCACTGTTGCAGAGGCTGGGAAGTCGGATCAAGGGGCCGGCAGGCTCAGTGCCTAGTGAGGTCCCGCTCCCTGGTTCACAAGCAGCTGTCTCTGTGCTGTGTGTGCCCGCACGTGGTGGGCGTGCAGGGGAGCGCGCCACAGCCCCTTTTGCAAGGACACCGATCCCAGTCAGGGCAGCTCTGCCCTCAGGACCTAATTACCTCCCACAGACCCCACCCGCAAATACCATTCCTGTAGAGGTTAGGATTTCAACATAGGGATTTTGAGAGAACATAGGCATGCAGTTCATAGCAGATTCCACTTATAAAAAACCCTGGAAAATGCAAACTCGTCTGCGTGACAGAAAGCAGATCAGTGGTTGCGCGAGGACACAGCATCCCTGAAGAGGGTGTCGGGAGGATCAGGGATTATAAAGGGGTGTGGGGGGGAGGGGTGGACATGTGCACTGTCTGGCGGTTTCACAGATGTACGCCGTGTCAGACTTACCAAAATGTATACTTTGAATGTGTGTGGATGCTGTATGTCAATTATAGCTCAATAAAGCTGTTTTTTTCTTTTAAGTGCATATTGAGGGGGGAGGGTATAGCTCAGTGGTAGAGCACAAGCTGAGCATGCACCAGGTCCCAGGTTCAATCCCTGGTACTGCCATAATTAATCAATCAATCAATCTAATTACCTCCCCCTGCAAAAAAATTTAAATAATTTTTAAAAATAAAATTTAAAAAGTGAATATTGAACAGAAAATCCATTTTCTGTTTGAATTAAAATAGCAAACGTGGCAGTTCTGTAAAAGAATTTTCAAAGAAAATCTACATGTGTAATGTTAACTTAAATATCTTTCATTTGTGGGGGGTGTATTTATTAATTTATTTTTGCCAAGTTAAACTTGTGTCATTGTTTTTCATACAAAGGGAAAAAACTTTTTTTTCCTCTGCAGAGGGAGAGAGACTTGATGCCAAAATGAAAAGGCTAGAATCCAAGTACGCCCCACTGCATCTGGTCCCTCTGATTGAAAGACTGGGAACCCCTCAGGTAACATGCCTCTCCCGTGAGCTGGGCCTCCACGTCGGGCTTTTGGCACAGGCTCTGGGGGAGACCCAGACCCGAGGTGTCATGAGGTGGGACGGCCCCGCTCATCCGCTCAGGCCCCCGTGTCTCCAGTGGGGTTCGTAACAGGACCTTGTCTCAGGGTGGCTGTGAAGGCTTAGTGAGCTAACCTGTGGAAGGGGCTGAGCCCGCCACCTGGCAGGTGAGACACACACTGTAAACGTCACTGTTTTGTCCATCCCTTCACAAGAAGGCTTCCTCATCAGTTTCTAAGAACAGGAGACAGTGGGAGTTTCTGGGACAGGAGGCAGGACGTCCGGGAGGAGGTCCCTGATTCCGTATCAGCCTGAGCTACATCAGGGTCTTAGCCTCCGCACTGTTGCCGTTTCGGACGAGATGCTCCTTTGTTGGGGGGAGGGTCCTATGAGCTGGGACGTTTAGTGGGATCCCTGGCCTCTACTCAGTAGATGCCACTAGACTCACCCTGACCTGTGACAACCAATAATGTCTCCACGCATTGTCGGATGTCCTCTGGATGCAAATCACTCCCCATTAACAACAGCTGTGCTTGACAGTTCTTGACCCCGAAATGTATCTGGGCTGCTAAGACATAGGTAATAATAACTGACGCATTTATTTTACTGATGCCCGTTTCTCAAAACCCTCTTCTGCCAGCTGGGATGGTTTTCTAGTCAGAAAGAAAAGTGGAGCAGTTGGGCTTCAGGACTCCAGCCTTCTGCCCTGCCCGTGACATTTCGTCCTTTCCACAGCAAATTGCAATAGCGAGAGAGGGGGACTTGCTGACAAAGGAGCGTCTCTGCTGCGGCCTGTCCATGTTCGAAGTCATCCTGACTCGGATCCGGACCTTTCTGGACGACCCCATCTGGCGTGGGCCGCTGCCCAGCAACGGGGTCATGCACGTGGATGACTGCGTTGAGTTCCACAGACTGTGGAGTGCCATGCAGTTTGTCTACTGCATTCCCGTGGGGACCCACGAGTTCACCGTCGAGTAAGCACGTGCTCAGTGGAGGGGGGAGGTGGGAGCAGAAGCTGGTTCTGGGCCAACACAGAAGACCCCCTGCGCCTGGAAACGGACCCCAGCATCACTGGGCGGCTGTAATGCCCCTTATGTGACAGGGAGGGCTCAGGGCTGGCCTTCTGGAATTCTCTGAACCCATGGGCACTTACACAAGGCAGGCATGCATTTTCCTAGGTAGGAGGGCCACAGCTTCTTGAACTCATTTTTCATGGAGGGGCCATGAGCTAAAAAAGGTTAGGAAACAGTTTGCCAGCGGAACCCAAAAGAGGTGTTCACCAAAGCAGGGGCACATGTGTGCTCCATGTTCCCTGCCCAGCCCCACCCCGCGGGTGGTGTGGCCACTGGTGTCTGAGCGCCACCCCCTCCCCACTTTTCGTCTCCAGGCAGTGTTTCGGCGACGGGCTCCACTGGGCCGGCTGCATGATCATCGTGCTGCTCGGGCAGCAGCGGCGCTTCGCCGTGCTGGATTTCTGCTACCATCTCCTCAAAGTCCAGAAACACGACGGCAAAGATGAAATTATCAAAAACGTGGTATGTGGATATTTCACAAAAAAAGGATACTTTCTGTTTATGAAAAGCTGTTTTCCTGGGGATGTTTTTCATCCCAGCACATAAGGTGCCACCAACTGGAGATTTCCTTTCGCTTCCAAAGGGAATCTAAATGTAATTGGTAAGTAAAGGAGTCTGGCAGGTAAATACTGATGGTTCCATTTGCCTTTTGATTTCAGGGTTTGTAGATCTACCTCCTATATTGTCTTATAAAATCTGCATTTTCAGATCATTGGCATAGTCTTCCAGTCTTCTGGCTCCCTTTGTTGTAGTTAAAGTGTGTTTGGGGCTATTTTTAGAGATTTTTTTGTGTTTATCATTTTATGGACTCTTTGTCATTGAATTCCAGAAAATACTCTGCCATTTGCCGTTGCAAATATTTTAGTTTTTCTTCCATTTGGGACTCTGGTTAGACATGTGTTAGACCTTCTTAGCTGCTCTCTACTTATGCTAGTTTTCTAGGTCAGAAGTCCGGTACGGCTCAGCTCAGCTGGGTCCTCTGTGCACTTTCAGTGTCCTAGGGCTGTGTTCCTTCTGGGGCCTCTGGGCATGGATCCGCTGCAGACTCACTCAGGTGGTTGGGTCCATTCAGTTCCTTGCAGTTGGACGACTGAGGTCCCGTATCCTTGCTGGCTAATTAGTCCACATCCCTTCTCATGTTTTCCACGTGGCTCCCTCCAGCCAACATGTTCAACGTGTCCCTTGCACTCTTTTAATCTTCCAGTTAACTTTCTGCCATGTATCTCCTGCCTCCAGCTAGAGGAAGTCCTCTGCACATGATTTGATTGGGTCCACGTGGCTACTTTCCCTGTTTTGATGTCTGTAAGCTTGACTACATTTGCAGAGTCCCCTTCGCCATGGGAAGCTAGTATGTTCACAGGTCCCAGGGATTGGGGTGTAGACTTCTTTATGACTCAGCCTCTCACCGCCCCATCTCCTTGGCTCTCTGGGCTGCACCCAGAGTACTTTCTTCATTTAACTAATTAGCATCAGCTCAGTCTGGCATGCTACATGTCTACTTTTGAAAATCATTAGTTTGTATTTAAAATTTTGATTTGGTTTTTCAAATCTTGGTAGTACTTGACAATTTTACCATCTTCATGGAATTTTTCCTTTTTTATTTCTTTACACATTTCATGTGTCTTATATTCTGTATTTTAAAATTCTAGTATATGAGGCCTCAAGGAGAAATCTAAAACTCTGAAATGCTTCATCCTGTGTTGGTTTTTTATTTGCCACTCTTGTTTGACTGAACTTCGTTTGGGTTGCTTTTCTCCCAAGATTTGCATTCACTGCTCATCTCCCAGAGCCATTACCAGCTTGGGGCCACGTTAGCCTGAGAGGTCCTGGCTTCATGGGGAGCCTCCAGGTGCAGTCCACCTTGCTTCCAGCCCAGGCCGTCTCTTCACCCCGCTGCCTCTGGCAGCATCCGTGCCTGAGGAGGTCCTGGCTTTTGCTTTAGTTCCTCCATAGGCAGAACCAGAAGTGCTTTTTGAAGTTTGTTCTGTTTTTGTACTTGTGTGCGTGTGTTCTGTCATAGCAGAAGGGTCTATAAAGCATCCTGTCCACAATGGCTGGAAATCATTAAAACTTGTATTAGTTCTCTGGTCTTTCTCCACTGATCATGTTATTTTCGTCTTTCCATTACTAGCTTTTAGGACACTGTAGATTCTTAATATGTTTGTTGAATGAATAGATCTGCAAGTTGTACAGATGAATCTACCATTAGCATGAAACCAACAGATAATTGTTTAAATGCAAAATATATTTATCATTCCAGTAGTTACATTACGGAGACGGTATGTGTGTAATTTTTCCGAGAAGATGTGAAAATGCTGACATTTTGCAACATGACAAATAAACGGACAACTTTATTAGTAAAACACCCTAATTTTAACTGTTGTAGCCTCTGAAGAAGATGGTGGAGAGAATTCGCAAGTTCCAGATTCTCAATGACGAGATAATCACCATCTTGGACAAGTACTTGAAGTCGGGCGACGGCGAGAACACGCCGGTGGAGCACGTTCGCTGCTTCCAGCCACCCATCCACCAGTCCCTGGCCAGCAGCTGAGGGCGGGTGTCCCCTGTTTCTGAGTCCCAGCACTGACTACATTTAATAACGCTAACGGCATGTTTTTCTTTCCGTAAACTATTTAGTGAGATTTGTAGGGACTATTTTTCAGTATCTCTGTGCCTATGAAAGGGGTGCTTTTCAATCTAAAAAGCTTAATTTTATAAAATTGACTTATTTTTCTAGACTAATTGTATATGCTTTTGGAAATTGGGAAGTCGGAGAATATTGGCTGCTGATTGTTACCATCATGTTCTTACACAATTATTTTCCATTTTTCTGTGGAATGTTCCAACAGCTAGCTGGGTCATGAAGTGCTGCTCAGTTCATCCACTGACCCTTGAGCAAAGGATCTGTAACAGGGAAAGATTTGTGGACTTAAGCGAGAAACTTAATGCCAGCTAATTGTGATAAAACCCGTTACCCTTTAGAATTAAACAGTAATTAATTAGCTTTTGTTTATGGATTTTTCTGAAAACCTTTTCTAAGTCATTTTGTTCCCTTTGTGTCAGTTTCAGAACTTGATTTCTCTGCTTCTACTAAATCCAGTTGTGACAAAATCTAATTTGTGAGGTATGATTTAAAGGTTACAGAAATAAAACTGATAAAACCTGTTTATGTCCATTTGTCACTGGGACCCCGTGTGGGCAAGGTACTTTCTCTGCTGACTCGAGTGCACAGGCCAGGCCAGGAAGCCAGGTCACCTGCAGCCTTGTGAGAAGAGACAAGCTCATGATGATAACTTTCATATGGCTTTGGAAATGTTACTTCCAGAATCCAGGGGCATAGTACACGCTACCAAAAAATAAGTCCGTGAACTACTCTTGTTACTGTTCAGCCTTGAGTTACATGCAACAGAACTTCTTTACATAAAGTTACTGAAAGATGCTGCTTTTGGTAATGGGAAATCATAACCCCGGGGCCAGTCTTCTGCTACAGATTGATAGCATCTGTGCTCTCCCTATAATGGAACATATAGAATATGATGAAAGATTAAGTATAATGACTGAATTTAACTAATTCACATTACTGAGTTTTATAAGACTTAATTATAAACCAAATAAAAATTTCAAGTGCTGTACGATGTTAAAGAATTTATTATTAACAACCTCGGCATTCTCAACGAGGGCAGTATCACACCCAAAGGGGTGAAAATTGGTTCTCTGTTGTATACAAAACAGATATAGATACAGTACGTAAACAGAGTGTATCTGTGGTGGTAAAATTACATGGAGAGGCAGTTAAAATAAAGTCTACAAAGGCTCCTTAGAGGGTCAATAATAAAATGTCGGGAAAATGGAATTTACTTCGTGAAACCTGGATGTCACCTCTGCCCTGACAAAGCCATGGACAGTGAGGCTCAGTGCCGGCTGGTTACACGGTGGGCTGAGCTGGGGGACCCTGGGCAGGGGCAGCAGAATGGAAACAAGTTCTTCCTACCCCAGTGGGAATTAGCTGTCAATATTTTTTAAGGCCAATAAATCCCTATCTGTGATGTTTGATAGGTTTTGAAGCTGGATGGAGTTCATTATACTAGTCTACCTTTTTTTGCATATATTTGAAATTTTCTGTAAACATTTTTTTCCCATGGATGTTTTTAAAAAACTGAAATACATAGTGGTCCGAACAAACTCTTAAGCAAAGTAAAATATGTGATACAAAAAGACTATTTTATAAACGCCCTGTTTGTTCTAAGCATTCAGACTTAGAAAAGAACTTTGTTTCAATTTGTTTTTATTATAACATGAGCTAGATTTAAGAAATTACCCTAGTCTTCTGACTTTATTTCCCAGAGTTGTTAGAAGAGCTAAATGACAATATAACTCATTATGAAAATATACTGAGAAGTACAAGAGCTGATGTAACATGGTAATCACGGTTCCAGGTAGCAAGGAATTAGAGTAACTGAAAAAAAAAAAAAAAACCAGCCAGGCTGCAGCCCAACAGAAAAAAACAGGTTTAACAAGGTGCCATTTAACAAGGTGCCATCAAGCAAGATCATCAAATGTGCACGATGTCAAGTCACAGCCTGAGAAATATTTCCATCGGGTGATCGCCTACCTTTTTTGTTTTATAAATGAATTTCCTTCATTTAATAACTTTGGAGTCTCTTAAATTAACATTTCAAAATTAAAATCATCAAACAGGTGCCAGTTTTAAAGGTAAAGTAAACTACAGGATAATGTATTGAGTTAATTTTGTTCTTTTTAAATCAAAAAGCTTAAAAATGGTCAGAGATTGATGGAGTGGGGATGACAAATGTACATTTCAGACTTTCATCACCAATGAAAAAATAAAGCATTTTTATAGACTTAAAACTGTCATTAGTGCATTTAGATTTTGGTGAAGGAAAATTTAAAATACCTCTACAATAATACAATGTTAATAGAAATTGGCCATGTACTGAGGTCATTTTAGTGAGCTACCATCATTTAAATATAAGAAAAGTAATTTCTTGGTCCAATTTAGTGAAACCTTAAAAAAGATTGTCTCTAGAGAACATTATTTGAGAACAATGCTTTTTCAGACACATTCTGATATTCAAATCCACTTTATAACACGGTTACAGATTAACCTTTTAATTACATCTTTCTTACTAAAAAGCTGTCAGACTTCCATTTCTTCGGGAGATGTTTTCACCAGTGTGTTGTTCGATTCCACAGGTTAAGCTCTCCTCATTATTATTAAGAACTTCATACATGTTAGTGAGACTGCCATTCATCGCTTTGTCATCTTTCCGAAAAGACACAGGCAGACTTGCTAGACTAAAGCTGACGTCTTTAAAGGCATGCAACAGAAATATTCCCACAATGATTGTAAAGAAGCCACTCAGAGTACCAATGACATCATCAACAGGCATATCTTGCCACTCCTTGAAAAGGATAGCTGAACAAGTTAAAACTGACGTCGTAAAGAATACGTAATATATTGGAGTCACAATGGAAGTGTTGAATATGTCCAGGGCCCTGTTCAGGTAATTAATCTGTGTGCTCACACAGACTATAAGGCTCAGCAGCAGAATCCAGGCCAGGGGGTGTCGCAGCACAGGCTTTCCAGCAAACAGCTCTTTGATAGCAATGCCCAGGCCCTTAACACAGGAGACTGAAAATGCTCCAATCACAGAGCAGATTGTGATGTACACAAGAATGTTTGTCTGTCCATGGCGAGGTCCCACCACAAAGATTAGTATCAAGGACACAATGACCACAAGTGTTGCAAAGGCCACAAAACCTGCAGGAGGCAAGGAAAAATTCTATTCAGTCAAATGTTTTACGGACTGAAAGAAAACAGAATCCAAAACAAGATATTAACTCAAGAGGAAGGAGAAACGGCGTGGCCCTAAAACAAAACAGCCTGCTTCTGCTGGGGCAGTACACGCGTGAATATTTAGCTAGATGCACGATGGAAGCTTAACACGAACTTTGACAGCAGTACACAATCCGGGGGGCTGAACCTGCGGACACGGAACCTCAGGTACAGAGGATGGACTAGAAAGTGGGTTTTCTCAGGCGTCCCTACCCCCTGTTGTTAAAGGGTCAAACGTGTATCAAAGAAAATGGAATAAGGCTGCCCGACCGCTGTCTATTCCAGAACACCGTGCTACTCCCCACCCACTGGTGCTCTAACTCTAAGGACAGATGCAATCAGAACAATTAAGAAAAACCAGTGGAGAGAAGTCATGAGATGACCCTGAGATGCTCAACAGTTTACAGATGCTAAAGAACATTTGTCTAAAAAGGAGTAAATGTTTAAAATCTTTGGGGACGACCACTAGGGTAAAGAACAAATCAATACGAGAATTTGAAAATCACTGGCAGGGTTCCGGCTGGATACAGAGACCCGAACTCGGCACGGTAAGAGCTTCCGATGGGGCAGCACTGCGGGCTAGGCGCTCTTCTCAGCAAGTTGCACTGAGTAACTCATTAAATCCTCACAATTACCCTATAACACAGACACTGTCATCTCCACCTTAAGACAAGGAAACTGAGACACAGCAGTCAATCTTTCCGCTCCTCAAATTCTGCTATTAAAATGAACAGTTACTAGGACTTTTAAGGAAGCAAACACAAACACAAGAATAGGTGACAGCAACATTACGAAATAACTGATACGAGCAGATGTAAGAAAGCTGCAGCCAGTATCAGCAGTGACTGAAGATCGGACAGTGACTCAGTCTGCAACAAAGCATGCTCTAAAGATGCAAACTACCTCTGGAAGTGGGGTGACGGGGAGACTGAAAACAGGAGGCCCGGCTGCAAGTCCATTCAGGAAGCAATGAGACCCCAGGTCCCTGCCTGGTTCTGAACACCTGAGTGACTGCTCCTCAGGCCACCGTGAGCAGGAGACCCTAGGCCAGCTGAGTGTGTGCTGCTTCACCAGAATGGGGGCTGGAGTAACGCATGTCTAAGATGGTAACCTCCTCCCCACTTGAATCATCGGATGCTGGCAGCCACACTTTGCTGGGGATCTGGCCAGCCCAACTCAGAAGGCAGTCAAGGATCACCAGGAGAGGCCAAAACAACCAGAAAAACAAAGCCGTTGTTGGCTCCATATAGACAGAGGGAAACTTTAAAATAGGTAAATTACCACCCCCAGCCCCTCAAGAGAAAACAATTAAAACTACCATTAATATCCTCGGAGAGACAATGATGAAATATGAGAGCAATCAAAGCAGTCAGAACTGGAGGGGCCACAATCTGGGGAGAAAGGAAGTCCACTCAGGGCAGCAGCAGAGTCCAGAGCAGGAGTGAGGGTGGCGCAAAGGCCAGCAGACAGTGGTAACCTGGGGCTTGTGGGAGTTTCAGTAGATAAGGTTAAAAGAAAAGGTGGAATTTTGGGCTGCCTAAGCTTAAGCTGGGACACAAGGGCCAAGATTCCAGGAAGGAGGGAACTGAAGAGAAGTGAGCACACATTTCCGTGAGCAATTCCCCTTAGGGAGCCTGTGGGCACAGAGCCACACACACCGAGGTCAGAGGAGCCAAGCGGACAGCCTGGCAAGG